GATGGAGCGCGCACGCTCCCCACCTCCCCGCTGCCGCACCGCGTCCTTCACTGCGACGAGACACGAGAGGGAAACGCTGGAGAAGGAGTGCCAGCGCCGCGCTCGCTTCCCCCGTAACGCCGTCCCGGCTCTGCCCAGAGCCATCGCTATCACTCGGCGCTTGTCCGGCACTACGGCTGCCGACGGGAATCAGGGACCATCGGATCGTTTCTCCAAGGCTGGGCTTAAGTGGCTGAGTAACGGGCAAAGGATCAAACCACACTCCTGCCTCTCCTTCCACCTCCGCTCAGCCACTCTGCCATCCCCTCACCTGGTTTTACTTCGCCGCGCCTCACTCTCCGACGGGCAGAAGGAATTAATGTGCTTGGCTGCCTGAGGAAGGAGATTAGAGAAGTGTTAAGGAGAGTGGGAAAACAGCCTGGGCACAGGGAGAGGGAGGGTTAAATGATGGAATACACAGCGGCCACAAACCCGCCTGGGAGTTCGGATGTTGGCATCTGCACCATCGAAAAGCTGAAGAGCTTAAATTGCTGCAGGGAGACAGATCCAGAGCCCACCTGGCTCAGACAACAGAGCATCAGGCAGCACGGAGAGAAGAACCTGGCATATGAGAGGTCCTACAGCAGCACAGGCTGGAGTTCGGAGGTGTTGCAGGAACAGCAACATGATCAGTAGCAGCTTGAATGCAACAGTAGAAAGGAGGAATCCGAGCTTACACCAAGACTTGGGGATGCAGTGGAAGTTTCATGGAGCCTCCCCTCTTTGCCACAAAATAACAATAAGAAACTGTCCAACAAGGCATCTGGACACTGGAGCCAGCACAGAGAAAACAAGAAACAACTAAACCTGGCAAAGACAGATGTGAAAATCACCGTAACACACCCTCCTGAAACAGAAAACGTTAATTTCTGAAGGGGCTGCTTTAATTTTATCCTCAGATTGTTAAATAGGAACAACAAACTCCTCCTTCTCTAACAGCCTTTCCACTGAAGCCTTTCAGCACTCGCTCAAGGAAGAACTTGGGAAAGGACACGACAAGCGTAAGACAATGTAATACCTCTGGAAAAACCGTTTCAGGGAAGAGGCTGCCCAGTAGGCGCTCCCTCTTACGCAAATTCCCCCCACTGCAGCCGACACCTGGGCAATCAAGCCCTTCCCAGCACATGGGAATGCGAGGATGAGATGGATTCACCACCCTCACCCCAGCAAACCCACTCACGTGTTGACTTCTGGGGTAAGACAAAACCAAGCCGAGTTCACGGCCCCCACAGTGGCCCCTCTCCGCACGGCTCACGCCTTCCTTAACGTCCCCCACTGGTGGGTAATAAGCTCGTCCTAAAACGGGTTACGCTCAACCTGTAATAGCCAAAAAGACAAATTATTTTCTCATATTAAACTCCAGTTAGCTCCTCTTGCAAAGATGCCTGTATGGAGAAAATCTACAGGGCTGTTCCCACGCTGGAGAGCAAGAGTCAGGGGGCTGATAACGACCCCACGACTGCCTCGCACGAGGTGCACGGGGCTGAGCCGCTGCTCCCGCTTCGGCACAGAATGGGGCCGTTACCCCTCGTGTTGCAGAGGAGGGGGATGCTGTTTTAGTGTTTCCCATCCAAAGTTCATAGTGTTGCTACACAGAATGAGAACAAAGCACCTTTCTCAGCAGAAAGCATTTTAAGGCAGTTTCAAGGATGAGACTCATGATGTGTAATTTCACAGTCCATGTTATTTAGCACCTTAGACGTTAAGACTATGCCACAGCAGCTTCCAAGATCCAATTTATAATTTTCTAATTTGAAGGTGTACTAAAGGTGGTAACTCTTCAACTGATCTTGTTGTTCTCTTTTTAGGCACTCTACTTTTAGTCATCAGATAAAGGGATTAGAGTCTTACATCACCACTTAATACCTCTGGAAGAAAACCCTACTCTAGAAGGACCTTCCTTGGTCTCGGTATCCAGCAGGATTTTAAATCATGCTATCCAGTCGTCCTCTTGACGGGTACTGAAGTTGGTGAAGGCAGACTATTCTTTAACATGGCAAAGTTAAAAATAGCTGCCAGAAATTAAATCGACTAAACCTGAGCAGCAGTGGAAGACTACAGGTTCTGACCTAAACCAAGAATCAGAATTCACAGCAGGGAAAGCCAGAGCAGGTGTCAATGGGCTGCAAGACCAACAATTATCAAACCACCTATCTCTAAGTCTCAAACAGCAAACACAGCACTACTGAAAGTGTTGCTGTATCTATTGGCAGGATGGAAAACTAGTCTCACTCTCTATTTTTGCTATTGAAAAGTCAATAGATCCAGACATAAAATAAACCTAAGCAGACATAATGACAAAAGTAGCTCATAAACCACAATTTTATTGTCGGAACTGCTGGGGAAGAGACACTCGTACCAAAAGTCGCCTGAAGAACTAACAGGCACCTATAAATTAGGGAAAAGGAAAAAAATAATCGCAAGGAGGAATATAATCTGGCTGCAACTTAACTGATACTTAAGGAACGAGTGGTTGGTAGAGGACAGCATGCTGCTAACTTTGGAGTTGGGTCTTAACTAGTTTGAACTCTGCAGAGACCGACCTGAACGGTTGGAGGTAAAAATCTCTCTTCAGGAGTTGCACCCAGCACTTCGGCTCACCGCAGCAGTATGCTTCTCCTCCTGAGGAGTTATCGTGGCTCACCAGTGACAACAAATAAACTCCAAGCAGGAGGGCTGCTCTAAGACACATCCCGAGTATCAGGTATAAAACTCTTTCTTTGGTTGAACGCCTGTTTCCCTGGATAAGGAAGGCACAGGAGCGTAGCAGAAAACCAAAGGAGGGACCACGGTCCTCCTTGGTAGACACATCCAGCACGGGAATAGTGGTATCTCTCTGTGCAGGGAAAGACGTGCAAGAAGTGCTTGGCTTTTAAACTACTATCAGATGCCTTATGAACCTTGCATTTAAGCAATTAATTCTGAAACACCGGGCAAAATTTCAATCGTGTGAGCAATAACAGGGGAATCTGGAAGAAACGACAACCAAGCGGAATCTCTGCCTACAGCAGCCACGGAGAGTACTCTCGGCTACGAGATCTCCAAAAGCTGTCCTACTACGGGCACCACCTTTCGGAGACCGGGGAATTTTTGCATGTCAATTCAAAAATAAGTTTGAAATCCTTGAAGAGGTCGCACACTACAAAGGAATTCACCGTTCACAAAGGAGAGCACACTCAAAGAAGTGACATCTACGTTCAACCTCCTACACTGCATGCTCAGATCCCCAATTCTCTTACACCCTTTCCCGACTCTCCACTCCCAGGTTTCACAGCTTCCGGATCACCCTGGATGAGGGAGCTCACTCTGACAAACTGTTTTAAGGCATAAAGGTTTTGGATTTTCATCTTTGCTGCCTTAGGGGCATCCGACTCCTTTTGCGTGCTGAGAACATCTGGATGATGAACTGGCAGATCACAGACTCAACTGAGGGCATTAAAGCAGCAGAAAGCCAACTTAAAAGAAGAACCAGGGAAGGCTTTGAGCCCATGTTTACACTACTGATGCTCGCCATTTAACTGGAAAAGAAAGCGCCCAAAAAGTGTTCTCAATCGTCACGAAAGTGTTCGCCATGCACTGACACGTGCAAGGTTGTGTTTGAACTCCAGACAGAAAGATGCTGGAGCAGAAAGGCCATGAGGAGTATGCAGGTGGAAGAGGCAGGGATAATGTTTAGCAGATTTTTTTCAAGTAAATAAGGAGAATCTTTGCTTTTGACTGTGCTCACAACTGGAAGAAGAAAAAAAAGCAGCTGTAAATGTGTGCAACACAACTGAGCATCCCCCTGCTTCTTTGCCACCAGGGTTTGGATCGGCGCATTTTGACACCTGAAGAAGGGGTGAGTGTCAGCTGCGCGGTCTGAGGCACCTGTATGAGGAGCACGACGGCAAAGAGCTTTGCTAAAGGAAAGCAATTGGTAATCCCACTGCCACACTCCCTCTGTTCAATCCCTTCCGTTGAGCTACTACGAAGACAGAGAAGCAAGAAGTGCAACAGATTTGAGGGCAAAACCAGAAGACAACTTTCTTGAGTCCAGCAGGAGCTGCTGAGATGCCTTCTCACCATCAGAAGAAAACCCCGTGTCTCTTGCAACACTGCCAGCATCACAGGCGAGACAAACGCTGGGGCTTTTCCTCTCATTTCAAAATAACCACGGGCAGCTAAAACCACAAGATGTTGCCCCCTTCTGCTGCTCAAGTTCCCTAGACCAAGGCAAGTTTTACAGGAAACTTGTGTTCCCTGCATCAATCCTGCCAGACGGGCTTGACTTGAGTCACATAAGCACAGGGAAGTGGAAGAAAATCCCCAGAGAGACCGTATACTGTGCAGCTGAAACAGAAGCAGCGTTTCAACACTGCTATTAACATTAAACACTAACATCTGTCTTTGTTAGAAATCAGTATTTTTGCTAATAAAATAATAATAAAAAAATCCCATTCCTTTATATAGCAGTGAAACACACACGTTGATCTTCAATTATATTTATAGGCGGCCACTTAGTTTCAGCGACCTGATGCCAAAACTCCAATCCCAACAGCAACAAACTCACCAGCGCTACCGTCACCTCAACGATCTGATGGTTCCATCTACCTGCCTCCCTGTTAGGGAAGAGAAAACGGTGGACAAACTGGGGCAGCGACAGGCTGGATCACACCAAAACCTGTCCCTGGGCTGCTGCTCACGCAACGCTACGCCTTGTGCCAGTGAGGCAGCTGATCGTTCTGTTGCTGCGCGCATCGGCGTGTCCACCCCTCCACGATGTGAGCAGGGTGAAGTCACGGCGTTCATCCCAACTCCAGGCAGCAAATACCTGCTGTCCCATGCCTTACGCTGTAGAGGACGGAGCAGGTAAGAGCGGAGCCCTCAGGGGTTTGCCTGAACCCTGCCCCTTATCATAAGGCTAGAGCCTCCGGTGGGGGTTCACTCCCATGCAGGCTTCCCATGGATTTCTGGATGCATGCTCAGCACTGTGCTTCATCCACTGGGGCACGGGGGAGCCTGGCAAGCAAAGGGTTGAAGGAGGGAGACAGACAGGATTGGGAAAGCTCGAAAATTGAAAGTTTTAAAATATACAAAATGCAACACACTGGAAAAAGTTTAAAAGTTGCAAGACAGGAAAGGAAAAGAAAGAGATATATGGGGTGAGGAGAGAGGACTGGAAGATGGTGGCAGACGACTCCAGCTTGGGAAAAGGAGCGGGTCAGGTCTAGTCAGCACTACTCCCTCTGGTAGCCACTCAGTTCCTCCTCGTCCTTGCGGCGACGCTGTGCGAAGAGGGAGCTGAAGGGGTAGAGCTTGGCTTTGGCCTGGAAGCGCTGCCCAGCGATGTCGATCTCGTACTCGCCCTGGTTGATGAAGTCGGTTGTCACCACCAGCTCTTCTCCTGTCTTCTCGTCGAAGTGCTGCACGAAGCCGAGGCAGACGTGGCGCTCCAGAGTGTAGCTGTAGGCACTGCTGGTGGTCTTGCCCACGTAGCGGCCGTTGCGGAAAATGGGTTCCCCCCACCAGGGCCAGAGGTCCATATCTGTGTCATGGTCCTCGAGAATGAACATGGTAAAACGCTTGTATACACCGTTCTGCTTCTGTTCCAGGAGTGCTTCCTGGCCAACAAACTGCATTCCCTGCGGAGAAAAGGAAGCATCAGCTGCTGAAAGGAACATGAACCGTAGCAGCTGCTGAGTTTCAGCAGACAAGTTTACTGACACAAGCTGAATTTGTGCTTGGAACTCACGCCCTGTCATGACAGGCTGCTCCTATAGGCAAGAAGCCCAGCTCAGACAGAAGCTTTCCTGTCATGTTTGTTGTTCCAGATGTTAAAAGACACCAAAATATTCGTGAAGTGGGCCTTTAAAAAGTTAATTCTCATTTTCACTGCAGGGAAAACATGTCACCGTTCCAGTTTTTGCCACTTCTCCGGTTCCAGAAGCCTACCGTGTTTTATAAACCAGAGGGAAACTGTAACAACAGATGAAACGTGTCCCCAGTCACTACGCGCCCTTCTCTGAATTATTCGAGTGTTTGTTTCAGCTTGTGCAAGGACACCAGAAAGAAGGCAACAAGCAAGTGGCAGAGATGGCACCTGCCACCACAACAAGCAGGATATATCTCTACGCTGTTCTATGCTTTAATAAAATTAGAGAACTCCTCTGTTTCAGTAAAAACAGAACACACCTGTTCCTGGTGCCTGTCCTCGTATTTAACTTTGTTAAACGCCACCTGGGGCACAGGTTGGCTTTTGCTTCATCAGACTGGGAAGACAGCTGGGAGAAACGGGAACTCTGAGCACCTGCAAGGTACACAGCACCCTCCACCACGCTGAGCATTACACAGGTGAGCAACACAGGGCACGGCACAGATCCCTGGGAATGCTGCCCAGGAAGGAGGAAGACAGAATATCTTCGATACTTAGAATCACAGAATGGTTTGGGTTGGAAGGGACCTCAAAGATCATCTAGTTCCAACTCCCCTGCCATGGGCAGGGACACCCTCCACTACACCAGGTTGCCCAAAGCCTCATCTAACCTGGCCTTGAACACTTCCAGGGATACTTCTAGCACCTTTTGAAGTACAAGAACATAGGTTATGGTTACGCACTGCACACAGTTCCATCGAAGAACCAATGTATCTACCCATTTGGATGGCAGTCTTTTCCGTTCAGTACTGCTCTCCCACCCACCCCGCTGCTGTAACAGATCCCACTGCAGGAGGTGACTTCAGTTTTCCACTCTACCTTTTCCAGCTTGACCTGGAACTCGCGTCCACACTCCATAGGAGTGGTAAAGGCATCCAGATCCTGGCCCCAGAACGCAAAGAACTTCTCAATGCGCAGGCTGCGGAGCGCGTAATAACCGGCGTTCCGTATCCCGTACTTCTGTCCCATGTTCATCACCTCGTTGTACACGTGAAGGGCGTACTGCAAAGGAAGGGTCAAACACAGAGCTGCAGACAAACACCAGGAGAGAGTGACAGCATCTGACGCCGCCACGGATGTTACTGCGCCCTGCCTCTGGAGCACAAGAGGTCTGCCCCACTGGAACCCAGGGAAAATCTCTCTGGCACTTGCAGGCAGCTTTCCCATGGTACAGACCAGACATTTCATTACCCTGAGTCAACTTGGAAAGTGTTTCTGATTATGCATGCAAGCAATTGTCTTAATTAGCTGAGTCTACAGTGTACTCTTACCTCTATGGGGATATAAAGCATGAATCCAGGTTCTCCTGTGTGAGTGATACTCATCACACGGATGCCGTTAGCATAGCCCACGCTCATCTCCTGCAGAATCAGAGGAGGTGAAATCATCCAAACTGGAACACAGCACAGCGATCCAGAAGGAGCGCAACGCGTAACGCAAACAGCACTGGCCTGCCCTCTCCCCTTCCTCACTTGGAAGTTCACCACCACCACCCACTTGGAAAGAATTTGAATTTAAAAATTCAAATAGCTACCCAGACTTCTTAATCACTTCATGATGCTTGGAAATAAGCCTTGGAACTAGGTCAGGACACGGGCTGGCATTCTAGAGACAAGACAGAAGTCGAATTGCAGCTCTCTGCTCAGCCTTTTAACGTGACAGGAGACAGCGACTCCCAAGCCACCGATCCCAGCTGCCCCTCTGACGACTGACAGCTTCATAACTGATTGTATGAAACATGCCAAGATATCAAACGGCACCAAGCCCACAGTAAGCAAAATACTGCAAACAAATGCATGTTCACCTAGATATTTAGCAGGCAGAATCCAAAGAGGAAGAGTTAACGAAGCGACCCTAGTTGAGTACATTCCCAACCTAGCTCAGTAAATCTGTATGTAAATTTAAATGCCCCTCTAACTACCCAAAACATTCTTCCCCTGCTTCCACACAGGCTTCAAAAAACCTAGCAGGGTGAGGAGGAAGGAAGCACAGTCACTCACCTTGCAGAAGAGAGAGGGAAAGTGTTCTGGAGTCATGGGGGCATATGATAACTCTGACAAGACATCCACAGCACGAGGGCCGATCAGATTGAGAGCTACAGAGGGAGAGGTAACAGCATTAGGATGAGACTGGAGAGGTCTTGCTCGGTGTCTAACTTGCACACGCGTGTGCCCCAGTTTCGCAAGTATTAGTGTTTGTTGAAATAATCGGTAGTTTACATGCAAGAACAGAGGAAAGAGTCATTAAACTCCCTCTCCTGACAGCTCACAGCAAAGCTGTCTCCCAGCTCATGGCTAGAAGGAAGTCTCTGAATTGCTGCTTTCATACAGCTGTTTGGAAAGAAGACCCAGCCACCACTACAGACCCTCCAAACAGCTGGCATGCTGCACCAGACACCATTTGCGATTTCAGGCTGTAGGAGGCGGCCTGCTTTCAGCGATTTCTCACCCGTGTACTTCCAGGTCACGTCTTCCATGGTCAGGTTGCTGTCGTCGGGCAAGCGGTTCTTCAGCCAGGCCCAGCAATGGACTTGTTGGTCAGTAGGGGAAATCATGAAGAAGCTGCAACAGACAAATTGAAACCAGGAAACAATGAACGGACAGCCACAAGATGATTCAGTTTTCTCTTCGTCCACAAACTGACGGAGCCATTCAGCAGCTTCCAAGCTAACAGGAGACCAAAACAAGCTGGTTGACGAAAACCACAGCTAAAGTCTCTGGATCAATGCCATCACATCTGCCATGACACGAAACCCCAGCCTTCCGGCGTTGGCAGTAGTCTGGTGACAAGAAGCGACCGCAAGCGAAACACAGGCAGTTCCCCGGCAAGTTCAGTGGGTATCTCAAAAGTCACCACCATTTCGCAGAAGGTATCCGCAGCTCTTCACGACCAGTGACTCTGTCTCCTCTGACAGTCAGAAGAGCGCTTGGTTCACACAGCGAGTTCTTGTTTCAGCAAATGTCCTTCCACACACAATGGTGGTTATTATTAACAGTTTCCAAAAACAGAACTCCACTTGATACACAAAAACGAGCTGCTTGTCGACTAAGTCTCTTTCATACAAACTGCGAGTTAAAGTACATTATTGACAGACACAACATCTGCAGAAATGACCAGGCAAGGAGGAAAGCTACTGGCTTCACGCAGGGAAGGACAATGCTTTGAAGCAATACATGAATGCCATCAGAAGAGGAAGAGAAAGAAAAGCTGTTTCTAATTGAAAGAGCAGCTGAGAAGAATGCTTTCACACCAACACAATGAAAGCACACACAGAAAACAGTCCAGAGAAATAAAACCAACATTCAGCTGGGACATGCCCATGAAGAAGTTTTTAAAACCGAGAAAGTTCTTTTATTAAACGCCAAAGAGAGCCCAGAGTGTTGAGTCTGAGGATAAGAACCTGAGATCGTGTCAGTTTGCAGCAGAGAGCACAAAAAAGAAGCATGAGAGGACTGCAGAGCTGAGAATTAGAGTACCCATACTGCGATGCAAGTTGAAATACTCAAAAAGTAGTATTTTCAGCAGGCAGTTCCAATGAGGAGACTGGCCAGGAGCCAACGGGGAACCATTTGGTTTGCATTTGAAATTATTACCTAAATTAATCGACTCTAACAACTGCTGAAAACAATTCGTATTTTGATTGAGAAATTAAACATCTGAAGGCCTAACATTTTGTAGAAATCGATGTTCACCTGCAGGCTCAGAAAAAGGCGTATTTCCCCCAACATTCATAAATTCAGGACCTCCCTTTCATTTGGGTTACTGAGTTAGGAATACGAGTGGAGAATCACGACTTTTCTTTCTCATTTACAGCGGTGCAAGAAGTTCACCATCTTCACTGAGAAGTTCTTAAAGGCTCTAACACCCAACCGGTGGCAGATAAAGACGCTGCCTGCACACCCACCTGCGTTTGCTCAGCCGTGCGATGCTGCAGTCGTTCTCATAACCTCCTTTCTCATTAAGCATGCCCGTATGCACAACATGCCCAACTGGCACATCCAGGTCATTCGAGAAGAGATACTGCAGACTCTCCAGGGCCTGGTCTCCTGTGGACTACACGAAGTGAAAGAGAAAGTCAGACAAGTCATCTGAGCAGTGCAAATCCACCGGGGCAGCTTAAGATCGCATCAATGTTCTGGCCCAAATTCTTTCAATTTGTAATGACAGTGACACAGACGTCCCGAGTGTAATGGGATCCAACGGTGACACAGCGCCGGAGGTCAAATTCTATTTATAACCCAAGCTGGTGTTTCTATAAACTGGGCCCTCGACGGACAAAGAGCAATCTATGCTAAATATACACAAATAGAACCTGGATTTGGTCGTACAGCTGAACCTCCTTTACCTATCTATGCTCCATCGGACACACGGAATTTTGCAAAAGCAGCCAACAATAAGCCAAAGGTGACCTCTGTCAGCCTGATGGTTTGTCACTTCCCAGGCACTTACGCTTATTTCGAACTTGGTAAAAGACGACATGTCAATGACACACACTGCTTCCTTACAGCACTTGACTTCGGAACCCACAATATCAAACCAGTCTGGTTTGTAAAAGGTTTTGCTCTGATCCAAATCCAGCAGATCTGGAAGAATCAAAGGGATAATTCATAAAATGGGTGAACAAAGATCTTACATAGATCCATAGGGATGCACCAGACAGAGGAAAACATGATCTCACCTTTCCCAGGTGGGACAAAATACTTGACTCTCTCAAATCCGTGCTTCTCCATCCACCTAGCTCCCTGTGCATCCAGTCGGTCGTACAACGGCGAAGTACGCAGCTGCCTGCCAGTCTGGAAGTCCCAACGGGGAACTTTCAGGTCGCACATGAGGGCTGCAACGGTCACAAAGATCCGTTATTAGGCACAGCGATTACCTTTTATCTATAATTTTGTTCTAGATTATCAATAAAGATACTTAATAATATCTGAACCATTCAGGAAATTCCCTCAAAACAGTTCTGACCTTCCTTTTCTGTTTCTGAAAACGGACAAATCTGTTTGGATCCATTTATAGCTATTCAAAAACCAGAGGAACAATATTTGCACAGAACGCTTATATATACAGATACTTATTGGTCTCATGACAATACTGTCAAGGTAAGAAAAACTCTCTATTTTTCACGAAGTCATGTCAACTAGCACTAATTATGCACAATTCTTCCCTGACAGCACACTGTTATCAGGCAATTATCATTTTGACAATACTAACGCTGGGGTAGGCAGCCCACAGCTACAAGGATCATCTAATTTACCTTCTTAAATATTGGCAGTTCAGTGTTTTCTAATTACTGAAGCTTTTCCAAATGGCTCCTATACCTTTCCAGTCAATACAGGATATCCTTATTTGGAAAACAAGCTACCCTAATAAATATTTAGCATCCTCCACGGTTACCAGTGGGGAGTAATAACGCAAGGATGCTTGAATACTTCTTTATAAATGTTAAGTTTCTACGTAGGTCTTAAGCTGCTTAAAAACTGAAGACGAGCTGAATATTTCTTACTGAATCCTTCTATTGGTTTTGCCTCGTAGCTAACGATTTAGTGATTTTATTCATTATCTGGTATTGGTACTCCTGAAAGAGTGGGTGGAGGGAAGAACAGGTTAGAATGGGAACGTAACTCTGCAGAAACTGAATATAGTACTTATCTTGTAAAAACTAGAGTGGTTCTCTAGCTATCAGAATCGACATGTGTATTGGAAAGCAACTGCAGAATAATGCCAAAAGTATAAAGTGGTTTTTCTAGGAGGAAGGTCAAAGCATAAGGTTTTTATTTCCCAGATATAGCAGGGCTAAGAGGTTTACCCAACGTCTCTGCTTTCCCCTGAACACAAGTGTTTAGTTTAGACTTTGTATTTAAATAATTGTATGTTTTGCAACTTTTGGAGCACTTCATACTTCTGTTTGAAACTTGAAGTTGTCCACATTATCTCAGGATAGGTAATCAAACAACGGGAGGAAGCCAAGTATGGCTTGAGACAGGAACACGGACACCTCACACCTATTCTGCAAAGTATTTATTGCAGATTTTGACAGGAGAAAGCAGAACATGTCTACGAAGATTTCCTGAATGATGTAGGATAACTGGATCACATGCTTATAAGTTGGAAGCGACGGTATTTCCATACTGTAACGACATGCAATGAATAATAACGTTTGAGACAGTAATATTCCCAGTTAAGACCTTGGGATTGTTTCATTGGAGTCCTACAAAGATATGCACAAATTTCCCCATACCAGAGTCAAAGCACAGAAACAGGAGAGTGCATGGTATCAACAGCGTTTCTTTAAAAAAAGTCAGTAAATACACACAGCTAATACAAAAAAAACCCCAGCCCATTCTTTCCTTTCTCCTGGGAAGAGGCTGTATTGCCACGAAGGAGGCCAGGAAGAAGGAAAACGGTTCTCAGAGTGATGGCAGAGGAGAGACAGTGCAGCAAAGAGGAGAATCTTGGACCTCGTGGCCAGCACTGAGCGCAGAGACCTCACTTACGCATTACTTCCATCACACGGTGACGGAGGAAAGTGCGGCTGCTCTGAAGGGTACCGAAACGTTTCAAATCCAGAGGCCAGACATTTTCTGACGGATACCCATTTACCATCCACTCTGCCAGGTACCTGATGGAAGTAAAGAAAGACGAAGACATCAGCCAGTGTCTTAAGGGAAGGAGTCTACCTTTGAAGTCAGAAGCAAGGCAAGTTGGACACGACGATTTCTCGCAGTAGGGAGAGAGAAGACAACTAACACGGTACTCTAAATACTAGCAGAATCCAGAAGGTTTCCCTTAAAAAAACCCCATCCACCAGATTTCCAAATATTATTAATATTCCATTGGGATGCAACACACAGGGCAGCATTAAGGGCAAGTGGTGAAGGAAGCCAGAGCCTGGACAGGCAGCCTGGCTGACACTGTGTCAAGTCCTCGGGCTACGCTAGGAAAGGAGGTGCCGAGGATGTTTAGGTTGGAGTTAGGAGGCCGACTGCTCTGTCATTTCTCAGTACCTGGAGTAGGCTCAGCCACAACCCATCAGTGACAGCATTCACTTCAGCACGAGGTGCCAGCCAAGTTATGTTTAGCTACACTTCTAGTAGTGAAGGAGGAAGGCATGCTCCAGAGCTAAAGGACAAAGGCAGCTCAGACCAAAGCAGAGCAGAAGGATCTGTTCACAGTCAGCAAACAGAAAAACAAAGGGGTTTGAGACTGATCATTAGAAGTTACATCAGCAAAGCTGCTTATCTTGAGGCTGTAGCAAACAGATAAATAGTGCTTTTACCTTCAGAAATTATTTTGATTCTTAGAGAACCTCACTGCAAAGATTCTCTGCATTTTATATGACAGAGAAAATATCATGAACTCCTTCCCTGGTGAGTTAAATTATTAGACAACGGACAGAAACTAGAGGAGACAGATGCAGATACTAACACCTGCCACGAAAAACGAGCAGCTTGTTAAGAAGGCTGTGTGGCAGAAGGGACGCTGGGTTGCCAAAACCGGATGGCAATGAGAGGGAGTGACGACCATTCTGCAAGCAACTTTGCTGCTGGGATCACACTTATACGCCTGTCAAAGTATTTGCATTAACACAGCAACTGGGTTTTACTGGGAAATGATTCCATCCCTAGCTCACTGGCAGAGGATAAGTCCTGGCAGCACTGGCATAACATATGCGGTGCTTCATCTGCACCAGACTCACTCTGCTTTCAGAGAAATTAACTGCTGTGTCAACTTGACTGATCTAAGGGCTTCAATCAAAAAATAAATTAAAGGGGATCATGGAATACAGAAGATGAGGGAATATATGCTTTGCTAAGCTTTTATCTCTGCCAGGTAGATAAAAAAAAAAATCAGACCAGTTAGCTCTAAGGAAGCTTACTTAATCCCCAGCAGGCTGCTGATCACTGAGATGTGATGCCTGAGGAGAGGTGTGGAGGATAGGAGGAGAGTCCAGCACAGGTTTGGAATACGCACAGGAGAACATAATCAGCACATGGCAACCGCTCCTCTCCTCAAGTTGGAAACCAAAGAGGAGTCTCTGTCAGAGAGGAGGTGACGAACACTGACCAGAACATTCTACACAGAAGGATCACCTAAGCAGTCTCTTTTCTTGGTTAAAACCTTAAGTAATTACACACATAGCAGTGACAAACCACTTACTTGCCTGCTCCCCCACCATATGAGATACCCGCGGAGTTCATGCCAGCCAGAACGAAGTAGCCCCGCACGCTGGGCGACTCTCCCATGACGCACCGCATATCTGGTGTGAAGGACTCCGGGCAGTTCACTAACTGCATGATCTGCAGAGCCTCCAAATCCGGCATCCTGCGCAGAAGGGCACTCAGAAGTGGCTCTAGGACACAAGACAAACAAACAAAAAAAAAGAGACGAAAAGTCACAGTCTTCGGTCTCGGCGCATTCCAGCTACTTCACCTTCACACCGGACAGCACGGCAGAGGCGTACTGCTATCTGAACAGATGGAAACTGCTTCCACGTTTCGTGGGATAAACAGCCGTGGGATAAACCGTTTACGTGCTGGAATCAAACTACTCAAAACGAGTGACGCAGCCGTACCGATCCAGACCAAGGGCCCAGTATTGTTTTCAGCAGTGCAAGAGCGTGTTCAGTTTTGTTAGGGAAAACAACAGGAGCAGACACCAAATAGACACCCAGCGAGGAATAAGAACAGGTAAATGCATACGACGCTTGTCCCACGCACTCTGCCAGCTTCCACTTGCCATCAGCTCAGAGGATCTCCTAAAAACCTGATAATGTTTTCCCTATTTAATAACCCCTACCATTGACCTCTCTTCTAAGTCCTTGACCACTCTTCCCCAAACTCAGGAAAACATCCTACAGACGCTGACAAGGAGTTTGACAAATTTAGTATTTGTTGTATGAGGAATCGCCTCCTTGGGCTTTGAAATTCACACTCAATTAGCTTTTTTTGATTCCTTCTTGTTGGTGTAATAGAAGAGACAGTAAACAGGAGATCCCCATCTATCCTGCCCATCTCATTCAAGATTTCGTAGACCTCTGTTTATTTCCCTTCTGTCATCTCTTTTTCCCAGCCCACTCAGTCATTCCTCGCTTGGAAACTGTTTCAAGCTTTGATCAGCCTCGTGCTGCGCTTTCACCAGGCCTTCTCCAGTCATACTTTACCCTCTGGAGACAGGGAAGTGAGAACAACAACTAGTATCTGGCAAACCAAGGTTTTAGTGTTGCAGAACGATTGAGTTTTCTGCTCCTTTCCTAATAATTCCTAAGTTGCCTTTTGCTTTGACTGCTACTGAGCTGATGTCTGCACAGAACTAATAAAACCCCAAGGTCAGTCCAAAGCCCATCATTTTATATGGTGAAAATAAGACCATCCTCAGACACCCCCACGCCCTGGCGTCACTTCACATTTATCCTCACTGAATTTCCTTGCCACTTCGTTGCCCAGTCACGCTGGAAAGGTCCTTTGGCAATTCCTCACTGTCTGATATTTGAGAGTGTTAATAAAGGGATAAGCTATCTGCTTTGTTTTTCTTGTCTGGAAGTTACCTCTGCATAGTACTCCAGATAAAACCCCGTAAGATTCAGCACTAATAACACTCCTCAGCTCCGCACACAAGCAGTAAAATAATCAGATTTCACCTTATCTAAGAAGTTACAAACCGAAACAGGCTGTCTGACCTCCTCTTTTTCTTCCTTCTCTCACACATTAGAATTACGGAGTGAGAGCCTGTAGTCACAGACTCTTTTTTTCTTATCGATAAAAAGAGGGATCAGTGTTAGATTTATTCTCATATCCAGTCCAACATCTAAGCAACTGTACAGGCTATTCTAAAATCAAAAGGTGTTCCAACGAAAGTGATCAAAGTGGTAATGCACGAGCTCAAACCACAGGAACCGCAGTCCTAGAAAAGGATCAAATATTGGCTGAGTAAGCTCTGACTCTGCTCAGCTGTTTGGTGTGTTTGAACTGACAGAAGGGTAATGCTGGAACACAGCATGCAGTTGCTTCCGAAACTTTGGGCCGTTTGTGGGTGCCAGCAAGCAGTGCCTTTTCATTTCAGCAGTACTTAGAAAACCAAAAAGGAATTGGGTGCAGAGCTCCAGTAACTCATTAGTGAAGCTAATATCTTCAAGCAAGTCTGTAGGCATCTATAGATCTAAAAACCTTTAGCATATGCCAGCATAAAACTGCACCCCCTCCTGGCTCCACCGCTGGTGTTAAAACTTTTATGGTGTCAATACAGCATCTCGCAGAAATGAAAGTAAAATTAATCAATTTAACCTGGGGAGTAGCTGGAAGAACACACTACAACTGCAGAAAGAAATCTGTGAAAGCCCATCTGTGCCAAGAGTCACAGAGGCATGAGTGTTCACAAGGGATGCAAAGAGCTCCGACACAAGGGAAAACTGTATCCCTGAAAAAACAGCAAATTTGAAGATGAGAGGGCACACAAAAACTAACCAGGCATGAAAGAGGGGGAAAAAAAAAAAAAAGCAACTCATCATAGAATCATAGAATCGTCGGGTTGGAAGAGACCTTCAAGATCAAGTCCAACCATTCACCCTGCACTGTCAGGGTCTCTAAACCATGTTGCTCAACACCAAATCCACACAGTTTTTAAACATCTCCAGGGATAGGGACTCCACCACCTCCCTGGGCAGCCTGTTCCAATACTTCACAACCCTCTCTGGAAAGAATTTTTTCCTGATATCCAACCTAAATTTCCCCTGGCGCAACTTGAGGCCATTCCCTCAACTTGAGGCCATGCCACGCTCTATCCTACAGAAAGAGCTCTCCATGTAAAAGTACAGACAGGACATAAAAATAGAATCGAATAAAACTGGAAGACAGAGTATTTGTCTTCCAGTTTTATAACAAACCACCACTGTCAACGGTGGGATGAAGTCTGGGAAGCAACAGTACCAAGTTCTGTCCACAAAGCAACCGCCACCGGTGGAAACGCACTTGGCAGTGGCTGCAGAAACAAAATGCCACGGCTACGTGGCAGGTCACAGTGCCGATGTGCGGCGTCGTGAGCGGAGCAGCACGTGGCACTGACGGTCAAACATCAAACGGAGTGGAAGGATGGCGTTAGGAAGTTTGTGTGGCACCTCGCTGCACTAGGGGAAACGGATGTCTGCTGAGGTTAGCGGGTGTTTTTAAGCACGACGCAGAAATGGATGTAGTCCTTGGTAAAGGGGTTTTATGTAAATCACAGACAAATGAAGAGAGGAACGAATCTGAGAGAACGTTCATCTCAGGTAAAGGCAGACACACACTTCAGCCTTCTGCTGAAGCCACGTGTTTCGTTGCTGTGGGAATCTTTCCTCCCTGACATACCAAAATGATCCCAGTCTTCTTGAAGGTTGTGAATCTCCAGCTGGTTCCGTCCCTCCGTGAAGAGAGGCTTGGGGTTTTTCTCAAAGCCTCCCGAGAGGATGCCACCTTGCCAGTTTCGTATGTAGATCCTGCCATCTGGGTCTACAATAGCTGCAGAGGAAAGAAAGGAGATGGGAAGGGAATTGAGAGAAGGGGTCTCAGGCTGTTGTTCCACAGACACCCACTATGGGGTCTGGTGACAGGCTGGGCCAAGCTAGTGGCCTCCCGAGGTGAGAAGGGACAGTCTCAGTCCCCCAACCTCACATTTTCACACCATTCTGGTTCTCATGTGACGCCTTGGTGAGCTTAAACCAGCATAAGCTCCCACCACAACCATGCAGCTTAACTTTTGGGCAGCACAGAAAACTGAGTCGAACCTGAAGAGCACTCAAGCCAGTGGGACAGTGTTACCAGGAGTGGGAGGACACAAGAGGGAGTCAGATCCCTTGTGGCACCAATAAACTATTATACTGGCTTAGTTCCACTGGAACTGCACCCAAGACCAGATCTTCCACCACGAGATGTCCTGCCCTCCTCCCCTTTCTCTTCCTACATTAAGAACAGTTAATTTTATTCGGGATGCATCACTGATCCAGTTTACTGCAGGCCACCAGCACAAAGAAGGCGGGCAGCAGTGGGACAGGGACAAGCAGTCATGTCTGGATTGCTTCTTCCAGTGGTAGTGTCAACTTGAAGCACTTACAGTACTCCACCTGACATGTTCCATAGCAATTTTTCCCCATGTCCAGAAAAGCTGTGAACATATCTATAAATATATGTGTGCATATATATATATATATGTAAGAACTCAGCCAAGTAAAAGCAAAGCACTCGAGGACTCTGGTCACAGCTGAATTCCCTGGAGAGTATACACATTACTCACTAGAAACAGAAACTCTTGCTAAAGACTGAGAGGAACTAAGCAAAGCTTCCTACTTCCCAACCACAGTTTTCAAACACAAGGGCTTTTCTTTAAGAGATCCAAAAGCCAGAACATGGGGGGAGGAGCAATTACCTCAAGCGCTTTGGTTGCCCCTACAGCTCATAGAAATGTAAATGCCATTGTAAAGCCTTAGCTTCAGTTGGAGGAAAGGAATAGATGGACCATTTGGGGACAGCAGCCTGCAAGGAAAACAGAGTGCCAAGGCTAGCACCCTCTCCAGCCCGCAAATGCAACAATCCAAGTCTCAGACACTCCTATTAGCCAAGCTAGAGTCAAGGTCATTGTCCTGCTAAGATGACCGACTTTGAAAATCAATTTCTGCAGCAAAAGCTTTCCCAAGAGTAAGGAAAGAGATTCTACCACTGAAAGAAGATATTCAGAGCAATTCAGCTAGATTGTACTTCCCAATCCCAAATGAGCTGAGAACTGGTAGACCTTAGTTGGCCTTTAAGTCAAACTATGCATCTGCCTTGGAAAGGCAGATTTAATTCACCAAGAAAAGTGAGGTGGAGTCGAAGAATCCTTACTTGGTATGTTGCTTGCCAGAGGTTCCTTCAAAGGATGTGTCAGGAGGTAGAAGTGTTCACAGGCATGGAGTGGGATGTTGACTGGTTCCTCCCCAGAGTGGCCCAACTCATAGGCCCACTGAAATAAAAAAGTGCACGTTAGAATGCAAAAGAAGAAAACAAACTTCAATAAAAAACACGCAGGGCAAAAGCACAGGTCCTTCTGTGGGTTTGCTTTCATAAACCAAATCTTATTTGGCCTTTTAGTCCCCTAAATCTTAAACAGACATACATTTTTTTTCTCCTTGCTTAGAATTTGAACTGTTTAGGACAAAGACTGTTTTTCTGTTCCTCACATAAGATCTAGAAAAGTGAGGCCCTGATTCCTGACTAGGAGGTATCAACTGACTATACAACAGCAAAATAAGATCTGTACACCAAAGCCAACAGCAGGCTCAGCCTCGACAAGCAGAACAGTCAGGATTTAGGTGCCTGTACTGCTGAGATCCCACACTGACAAGACAGCCAGCTGCAAACTGAGAAACAACAATTGTCAGGTGTATTTTCAGACTGGAGAAGACACAACACTAAGAAAAACAACACAGAAAAGAAAGTGTCAGCGTGTGTGCAAGACAGGGAGAGAGCCAAAGGAAAATTCTTCCTGTCAGAAGGGTGCACGCCCTGGGACAGGGAGCATGGGCAGAGCTGTACCAACACGCTGCAGGGTGCTCCTCGGCAGGTTAACATCCAGTGGTCGGTGCGAAGCAAACAGCAAGCACTGCTTTCCTGCTTCACACCCCTGCTGCTCTAAGAAGCTGAATCACACGGCTTTGATCTACTCCAGTAAACCAAGCCAAAGCACAAACCATAAAAAAAACCCCCAAACCCCAAAAACAACAACAGAAAAAAAAAACCCTGAGGAAGGCACACATGGTCTTAACCAAGGGAAAAATGAAAGAAAAATGTTGGTAATTCAACCTGGCCAGCACAGTTGACGAAGTACTGGCATCGGATCTGTCCTCTGTCGGTCTCGACTCCAGCCACACGACCCTTCTGGATGGAGACATGACTGACGCTTGTCCGTTCGTGAATCTGGACACCTGAACAGGCCATAAGAAAGTCAGTATGTACCACAAACGTTCTTCCTGATCTGTCAGGCTGCAAAGATTAAACCCTTAAACTCACCCTCCACGCTCATTTGCTCTTTAAGACAAAATTTCTACTCCTGACCCAGCAATTCCTAAGGGAAACCCTGTTATTTCTAAAACGTCACGCGTGCAATTTGTACCTAATTTAAAGGCTGAGATTGTGAAGAGTTACAGTATTTTTTTCCCATGTGACAAGCTGGGTGATAAATGCACCCTAGTATCAACACACACAAAAAATAAAGAGTCTCAACTATGGATTTCTTTCCGTTACAATTCCTTTATGCAACAAAGTCTACAGTTTCAGATGGAAAAACAAGATCTTTTATGAGAAATTGGTAATTTTGTGAAAAAAAAACAACTAACACTACGCAAAAAAAGCTGGACTAAAAGAAGGTAAGAGAGGTATCTTCTTTCAATCTGTTAGACTTTCATCCTTAATAAGCTTCATCTCTGTTATCGTATCTAAACTTTCTCCCACTTTTAGACCACTCCAAATTTGCCAAAGTGCTGGGCAAAGAGCATTTACTACTACACTTCCAAACCCATTTCCAAAGCCTATGTGCCCAGTGAAATATTCCACAAGGACTCAGTCACACCTTTTCATTTGTAGGTAATCAAAACTCTTTTGATGTGTAATTTTGAGTCAGGCCCTACGAAGGATTGCTCTTCTGATAAAAAAGTGTGTGCTTATTCAGAGAAATACATAACCAGTGAGGACAACAAACTGGTGCTTGATCTATCATGGTAGATCTGTAAAGATTCAGTTTGTTGGAAAAAAAATTCAGCCTGTTTTTTGAGGAAAAAAAAAAAAGATTGTAAAGAATCTGAACCTTATAGAAATAACCAAGTTTTGGTCTTCGGTGCTCAGTTGGAATACCAAGAGAGATGCGGAACATAATTTTCTTTTACAAAAAGTTAACTATCATGCAGGAGAGCGCTCTGTAGATAAAAAAACCTCGTACCATTCCGTGAGGCAGCGGTTGCCAGGGCCAGACTCACATTGGCAGATGACACGAGCGCATCTTCTGGCACATACATGGCCCCCACAAGGTCATGGATGTTGATCAGTGGGTGGAGCTGTGCCACTTGCTTTGGGGTGATGATTTCACAAGGTATCCCCATGACACTGCCACAGAACACAAGAAAAATGCCGGCATTAGTCCTGCAGGAGGGCCGGTGCCAGCTGAAGATCCGTTGTATTTCCTGCTCATACGTACTTCAGCGACGAAGCGATGCGTTTCAGAGAGATGAGTCGGTCCTGAGTCTGAGCCAGTGAAATAGAGCCCGTCTTCACGTACCCTGTGACAGCGACCAACGTCAAGTCAGACTGGGACAGGATCCCGAATTCCTTTTCATCCCACTGCTTTAATATAACTGCAGACCTCGTTGCTTCCACTGCTCAGGAGGTTGGAAATCCCAGATTTCCCAAATAACCTGAATCACTATCAGCTAGTAATTAAAAACTGCCTTAGTCGACTTTTAAAAAAAGCAGTTTAAATTTTCACTTGTGTTTTAACTCTTTCTACTACACTAACTCACATTTGTATAAAAAAATTAAACTTCACACATGATCCCTGTTTTAAAAAAGAGAGAGGCTACTGGCAAAAAAGTGATCTAATAACTACTCAGAAGAATAACTACCCTCTGGTGTAGCAGAGGGTGTCCCTGCCCACGGCAGGGGGGTTGGAACTGGATGATCTTTGAGGTCCCTTCCAACCCAAACCATTCCATGATTCTATGATCTCATTCAGTCCAAACGTATCGGTTTTGAACAGGAACCACCAACTCTTAAGACACTGTGACATTACATTCGTATTCCAGTGTCGATACTTCGATTCGTTTCCCAAAGGTTACTCCATGAGTACACTCGCAGTACCTGTGCTTACTCCAGTCTCTTGTTCCAGCTGCTGGTAGAGCTTGTTGGAATAGTCTGCCATCTTCAGCTCTATGGACATGTGCCTGGCCGTGCTCACGATGCCAGCGCAGAAGCGAGTGGTACCAGCAGCCAACCTGCGGAATTTGCAAAGATGGACTCACCTGGCTGACAGGGGGAGAGGCCAGCACCCCCGTCAGGCTGCTCCAGCAGCTCTGCCGACAGCACAAACCAGCCAGCAACCTCTCCCCGAAACATACTGGACCAGAAGCTGCAAGTTGGATGACACAGGGATAATGCAACCTCTGGAACGCTATTCCTTTAGCTCACTTATGAAAACATGCTGTATTCCAAACCCACTTCTCTTTAACTAGTCCTGAACACTGACATTTTTCAACAAATGCACTTTAAGAAAAAATTACCCCATCCTTAAGTCACCTGCCTACCCAATTCTTTCTTTCTCCAAAGCAGGTTCCCTCAAATGAAAACTAACTTGGATTTGAGCCTCGCATCTTTGCAGTTTACAGCAAGAGCAAGTCCCTTTTACTGTGCAGCAGCTGCCACAGATGGGCACACATCCCTCTTGTCCCCTTTCAAACTGTCCATCCGGCTCTTTAGGGAAGGGCTGCTGTAGGGATGGAAACCTGGGAAAAACTCCCTGCAGCACACACAGGTCGAGACAAGACAATCAGATTGAAGCACGTCTCTCCCAACCTGCTTCCACAACACTTCTCAGTCATCTTTCCTGCATTTAAAGCAATCCTGTGTTTTTCCAATTGCCTAAGCAAGCCTCTGACAAGACTGCTTTTGGCCTGGCGTGTCCGTATTCCCTCAGAAATTCCGCCCAAGAATCGTTTGAGTGAGGTATTTTTGCTACACCCCTACTCAGTCACAACGGAAACAGCTGAAGCATGGTCTGACCACGCCGTGCTTCACGTTAGGCGTCTTTGCCAACGCAATGTTCTTCCTTTTCCCTTGGGCACACACCTGGACTGAGCCTGCACAGCATCTAACTCAGTGAAGATCTGTAACGGGGCACCCACACCTTGCCCTGGGTTAGTAACGATCGCGTTCCCTGGCACACAGAGCCCAGCAGCTAACCTCACTGGGAAGGACACCGCTCACAAGGTCTCTCAGATGAGACCAGCCGATTTCCTCCCATTGCAGCTATAAAGAACTTGATCCTACCTGCATCCCAGCCATGAAAAGTCAAGGAGTCACAGCTAATCATTCTTGAAGGCAGCAGCAGGTAGGAAGCTCTAAGCTAGACGGTAAATATTCTCAGTCCAGCATCCATTCAGAGTGCTAGAAGCTGCTGCGACAAACACCTCTTCAAACCCCCAAAGTCTTAGTCCTGCCTCACGCCCAAGGTCCCCAAATTGATAAAGGAAACATCATAAATCCACTTCCGAAATGGAAATCTAAGGGCCGCAGAGTCAGCTTTCAACAGGACCTGCGTGCTCTGCCACAGACGGCAGATCCAGCTCACCGAGGAGCGGGCAGAGACTTGTATTCAGCCAAACCTTAATGGCCTTAACCTCTTTACAGATGGGCACTCCATCCTGCAACAGACAAATGAGATAATCCGAGCCTTTAACCAGCTTACAGGGTGCTGTTTTAGTGATGTCTGCTTATAACCTCCACATCTCCTGCAATCTCTTTTGAGCTTTGCTAGTGGTGCAGTATTTTACACCCTCCTTACAGTCCTGGTCAATAGGGGCTGGATGATTTACGTACATTTTTAGTGCTCTTGAAAGGGTCCATCTTTGCCAGCTGCATTGTGTTTTACGTAATTACCTGTGAGTACACCAGAGCACATGGGTATGTCCTGAAGGAACTGTGTCGGTGGAAAACCTACGCCAGGACAGAGTTCTCCTGATGGGAAGTGCAGCCCGTGGAGGACCCACACTGGAGCCCAGTATTGACCATACCCCCACTATTCACCCCCTGCACCGCTTGGGGTGGAGTCGGAGACCCTGGGTAGGGTAGACTCCAGGGTAGAAGACCCTGGAGTGCAGGAGTGAAGTTGAGCATGGGAAAGGAAAAGTGGCGTTTCAACGTTTGGTTTTTGTTTCTCACTACCCGAATCTCTTTTAACAGGCATGAAATAAAGTAATTCTTTAAATGTTTTAAATTAATTCTCCCTAAGACAAGTCTGTTTTGCCCATGGCAGTACCTGCATAAGCAAGCTCCATGTCTTTATCTTGATCCATGGGCTTTCTCAGCCTACTTTCTCCCCGTCTTGCTGAGGAGGGAAAGTGAGTGGCTGTGTGGGAGTTTTGGCCCTTAACCAAGGCTAACCCACCACAACCACGCAAGGTAAACCCTTCACTTCACAGGTCTGCCCTGTGCTTGGGAAGAAGCAGCAAGCATCGTTACTAACGTTCAGCACAAGCGTTTTCCATGAGTCCACGTCCAGGCGAAGAGGCAGAAATAACACCTCAGCGGATGCTGCTATGCATGGAAGCCCTGTTTCTTTGGCTTTGTTACCAGAAGTCCTTACCTGCCCTGCTCAAGTAAGACTATATCCTTCCAACCCATCTTGGAAAGGTGATATGCCACGGAGGTGCCCATGATTCCACCACCACAGATGACAACCTGCGCCTGTGCTGGCAAGGAAACCGGGTGAGGTTCTGCTGTACTTGAAGTACTTCGTTGGGAGCAGGTCATGACTCTCCATTTCGGGTTCGCCGCCCGCCACCGGACATCTGACAGTAATCGGAGAAACATCCCGGCAGCTACTAGTCCGTTTTCTTAAAGCACCACCTAGCCGTGTTCGGAGGTTAGCTCGGTACCGCTCCTTCTAGGAAGGAAAAGACGAGACTCACGTTACCACTTATGTTACTACATACAAGTCTGGCAGTGGCAAACCTCACATGGTGCACTGGGTGCGAGTGGACACGGGAAAGGTGATGAGTAAACACAGAGGAGGGAAGCTACTCCGTCCTGAAACAACAGCCTTGCCACTAGGATTTAACCTCAGATCGTGTAACGGGTACAGAGCATCGCACCTTCGCTTTCGATGGCTGCGTGACTTGACAAGGAGCGGAGACCCAGACGAAAGCTGGAAAAGAGCGGGGAGAACGCTCTCACACTGACAGGCAGATGAGAGCAAGCCAGGCAGGCACAAAACACGCTTGGAAACCTTGAGGTTAACAGCGTGCAAACAGGCTTATTAGTGTTGCCAGGCCTTTACCTGAGGACAGACACAAGGTTTGTGACGAGAGTAG